AAAAAATTTTTTTTTTTTTTTTTTTTTTTTACATTTTGGCAATGAAAAATTTTTTATAACCAATTGTGAAAAAAATTATCACTTTAGTTGACAATTTCTATGTAAAACAAAGCTAAACGAACACAATATTTAAAAATTTTTTGGGTGGAAAATTATACCAATCAAACACACTCAATTAAAATTTCCCTGAAAAACAATTTTTAGGCAATTACTTTTCCTAGAATTCATTTTCTTTCCGCTCATTTTCTACCCTTGCAATTAAACGAACCCTTAATGTAGGAAGAATTTCTCGAATATGCGTTAAATCAATGAACTGTTTTTAAGTATCAGACGAGTACAGCAAAAACTGTGAAGAACTTACGGAAAAATCTGCATTATATCAACACGGGACAAAACACATCTAGAGAAATAGGACTTGAGGCTCATGATTCATCCACATGTTCAATTAATAAAGTAGATAAAAACATAATATCGCGTGGATATGTACTAAAAATTAAAGCCAAGAAGAAACTAAATGCATGCCTGCTTTCCTGATAAGGTCAAAAAGAGAAACCTCAGAACTGTCCCGATATGAAAACAGTGGTATGAACTGAGATTCGTTATTTCACATGCAGCAGAATATAGATTACTGACTCGAACTCGAAACGAAAATGCGATCAACACAATGAAAGGTTAAACATCAATGGATCATCTAAAGGTGATTATGTGAGGCAAGAAGATTGTGTTAGAAATATTACTAGTTGCAATACAGTAAAGTGAAGAAATAAAATTTTATCGACTAATCGAGTCTCGCGACAGCACAATGTTCTAAAGCGAAATTGTCCGTCGATAACTGTTGCGATCTCTGTGAACAATCACCTCCAAGATACAACGATCAAATAAACCAATGGTGCAGCAATCACAAATGATTTTCAGAACTCTCAAGTGTACTCCAGAAAATATGTAAAATAGAGTATAATATTTTTTCTGAATAGAAAGATACAAATTCGTTTTTTCGTTATATATTTTTAATGTCCAGATGTGTGTTTATATAGGCAGAAAATGATGTAACTGCCTTCACCGTGATCCAGTATTATTTACAATTTTATGGCTAGTGGTAATGAGTTGTTAATACTGGACAGTTAAAAACTGTCATATTTTACTGGCTAATTGATCCATTAAATAATTCCGAAAATGATTAAAAATAATTGGGCACAAACTTTTTACCAATTGAGCATTTCATCTGAATTAGTTATTTCTTTCACATATTATATTTATTGTATGCATATCTAACATATTGATTACCAGCAGAGAAAACTCAGAATTCACATGAATGAAGCTCACATGAAAGATGAGCATTTTCATAGGCCACCCAAAAATAATTTAGTTACGTTGGATTCGGATTGGGTCCATCCCTCTATGGAGATCTTGACAAGGGACGCAATTTACCAAACAGTGGCTATAAACTGGCTTGCTTGAAGAGAACATCGAAGATAACTATGAAGAGCCAACGGCGACATTCATCTTATACCTAGTCTGCTGGGCTCATTATGAATGTTTCATTGTATTTCATCGAGTATAGACCAGTTCAAAATTATAAATACTTCAGCCTTAATTGATCGATGCATACAAATACATACATTCCATCTAGAAGATGAGGGTGGAAATAAAAAGAATCAGGAGCATAAATTATTTTTATGTAGCTACAAGCCTACAATGAATCTATTGATTAGCAGAAAAGGGATTGAGATGCAGAACTTCATCAGAGAACCAGAAGAATCCACACTTTTCATATAAAAAAATTAGAGAATACAATCCTTCTTATGCATTCGTGTACAAGCATTCAATAATTATACAAGCCAGGCCTTGCTACTAACACTTCTATTTTATTTGTTTATTTATTTGCAAGATATTACAAAATAGTAAATACGACCGCAATCTCAAGAACAAAACAAAAGAACATGATGATTTCTTGAAGCCTACTGGGACGAAGGTATGCTTTACATATCTGTAATGGGAACTAAGATGGACCTTCAAATCTGATGCCTCTATTTGAAGATATTTCTGTGTGCTCCGTAGAATTAGTTGTTGACGCATTTTGTTCAATATTTCTAGTGGAAGCCCACTCCTGTTGCCTCGGGATAGAGCGAGCTTTTACCTCCTCTACCTTTTCATCGACAAATGAAAGGAATGCCTGAAGTCGCCGTGATCGCAAGCTTCCACCAGTGGACTCGGACTCGGACTCAGAGTAAAGTTGTTTATATTCACGTATCAATTTTATGAAATACATGAGCAGTGCTAAGAGGCATGCCAACCCAGATATGAAAAAGAGGCCTTCAAAGCTCCTGAGTGACAGCCTGTCTGCCTCGAGCTTTGCACCTTGTAAACTGCAAGCACTTCTTAACAGCCACTTGTCATGCATTCGTTGGAGATCGCCATTCTCCGACAGTTTCAGAATTGCTGTTGACATGTCAACTGCCAGCTGGGAATCCCGTTGAAATGCCTGATTAAAACACGAATAAATATCAAATTGAAGCAGTCAATTATGGGAGGGGTTCGGGGGATGATAAGTGGTTTAGACAAGATAAACTTACAAATCCCCATCCATTTTTTGTGAACTCTTTACCAACTATACTAAATTCACAGTGCGTTGAAAGAAAGACTTCTGCATATGTACGCTCATCTATCAGAGCCGCTACACCACCATTTTGGGGTCCATCCTTTAAAGCTTTAGCATAATCTTCTGGTAACTTGAGTGGAACAAGTCTAGACTCATGAATGCCAAGTTCTGCAACCAGATAATCTCGTGCAAAAGAACCCTGCTGGTAACCTATAGGTTCCTTGCTATTTATTAGACTTCCAATTCCTTCAATTGGTGAAGAGAGTTGCTGTACCGTAAGGATTGATGTTAAGCTAGCAGTGTAACTGGAGTTTATTATTAAGACCACAAATAGCCACAGTATAACCACAAAGCGTCCAAGAGTGCTGACAGTATTTTCTCCTGCATACATCACCAAGTCAAAAATTGATCTTTTTCTGCCGAAATCATTCAAGTTCATATAGTTTCACTGTCACTTACTGTGGGCAAAAAAGAGAGTCGAAAAGCTAAACCTGCAAGGTGAAATCCCAAAGATAAGAAAATGATGAAATATTAATGACTTGGAGGAACATGACTGTCCACTAATACAATATTAAAAATAAAGGGGAGGACATAAAATCAAATGCAGCACTTTGCCTTTCCAGAATTTCAATAATGAAATCAGAAACTATTTGTAGAAGAAAAACTTCATAGGATAGTACTCGTTGAGAGGGTATAAACGTTTGCGATTATCTGCAATAAAGTTTAAAGATTACTTCTGTAGATGAAAAGATATAAAATGAAACTCACCATAGAATAGTAATGAATTGTTTTCTAGGAGGGCCACGAAAATCATCATTTATCCTATGCTCCAATATCCAAACAACTACACCCATGAATAGGAAGAAAATTCCCACGACAGACCACATCTTACGAGAAAATGGTTGAAGAAAAGCCCAAGCATTAGAATGAACCTTCTTAATAGGTGCAACTACAACTAGCCCAGATTCAATAAACGGTTGAGTAAAATCTGCCATCCTTGTTCTATTAGTGGTTATTGCAATGTCGCCTACTGCAGCATCAAAAGCCTAAGTGGAAGAAGAAAAACTAAAGAAATTATGTTAAGCCCGATAAATTCTGGAGTTCAAAGGCATATTAGGGAATTTACACGTACCCCTGAGGTCATCAAGCGGATAAGCTCAGTGCCACTTGGGTTGTTATGACCATCCCCATAGGAGATCATTTTGTATGGAACAGCATATGGCAACAAATTTATGGCAGCAGTGAAAACATCAATGCAGTAACCTGTGAACATGTCAGTGCCTGGTACCTGAGCAACAAAGTCTAGAAAACTAACTCGATTTGGGACCCCAATTGTCAGATGCCTCCCATTGAGTGGAAACACCCACCCACGAGGTTTCAGTGTTGTTTCTCCAGGCCAGATTATAGGATATAATTTATTATCAGAACTAGAACGATCTGGTCGCTTGGTATAGAGTGAATCTGGAGGCCGCATTGATAAACCGGAATTATTAGACCAATAACCAACTATTCTAGATCCTGAACCGACGACATTAATAACTTCAAATGCAGGAAAAACAAGGTTCCTATCTGAAGTAAACCTGAACGGTCCTGTCACACCAGTCATATTGACCTTTAAAATGCTCTCAAGCAACAGGTTTCCTCCGTCAAAGATGCTCATGGCATTAAAATTCAGATTGCCTCTATGCAATTCCTTTAACATTGGAACAGGAGAAAAAGAAATGTTTCCCCCCTGCTCAAAGAATGTACCAAGGGCATGAGCAAGCACCCAAACAGTGTCATAGGCATACAGACCATATGTGCTCAAACCAATGGAGGCACCATTTTCCACTTTTCTTGTCAGATCGTTCCACCTAGAGATGAAGTCTTTCTTTGATTTTGATTCTGCAGTGTATATACGTAATGTGATAACTCCTTGAATATTCTTATGTTCTTCCGAAGACAGGGGAGCATTAGTATCTAAGAGAGTTGAGAGCCAATTTGTAGCAAGCCACACGTATCCCTCATTCATCATCCCCAAATATTGTGCTGTAGCCATTATGTCTAGACCCCTCTCTGGATAAGTGTGAACAACAAGTATTCGGGACTCTGTTAACTCCACGTGAACCAAAACATCTCTTATTTCTTCTATGTTCGCTCGAGATCTTAAAGGTGCTTTATAAGAAATCTTACAGCTCCTTTTAGACAGTTGATCAGATAAGGAAGCTACACCATTCCTTCCATAATCATCATCAACATAAATTGCGATTACTTCTCTCCATCCATAGTAACTGATGATGTCAGCAATTGCCGCCATCTGAAAAAGGTCGTTGAGAGACGTCCGTACAAAAAATGGAAACTGGAGTGGAGACAGGGTCGGGTCGGTCGATGAAAAAGATAATAATGGGACTTGAAGCTTATTTGCAAAATGGGACACAACATGGGCGGTAACGGAGGATTGGGGTCCAATTATGGCTACAGTTTTCATCTCCATGAAGTGGATAGCTGTCATCATCAAGCAGTTTGATGAGCAGAAGATTCAAGTCAAAATAAGATTATAAGAGAATTATTTTTTTCGTACAAGAGAAAATGGAATGATAAAAATTTAAATTGCAGAAATGAGTAGCAGTAGATGTTATAAAGAATATACCCTCCATTATTCCTAAAAATCCACTGAAATTAGTATCAGGCAATGACAAGTTGAGCTTGGTTCCTCCAAGAACATTTGAGTTGGCATTCACATCTTCTATCGCAGCTTCTATAGCAACTTTCGCAACTTTACCGATAACTGAATCAACAGAAAGTACTGAACCAATATTCAAAACGTTAGGCCTTGTAGGGAAAACACCATAACCATCGAAGAAAGCCAGTAAGACCAAAAGAAGAAAGAGTTTCATGGTAAACTGGGTGATCCAAACCCAGATTTCAACCTACTAGACGGAGAACAACTTCTTCTAAAATTATCGCAGTAAGAAATTCTGGGATATCTGTCAAATCAATAAGCTTTGTCAGCTCAGCAAAATTAGTAAAGAATTTGTGAAAAATCTGCATTATAGCAACACCAGACAAAATAGTTTTTGAAAAATAGGACAAGATAAAATCAATATATTTAACTAAGTACATAAAAACCCAATAACATGCGATTGAAACAAATAAAAACATGGTTTAACCCAAAAGTATTCATTTATTATCACGTTGTGAGAATCTCCATTAAGATACATATTATATGAGACTTGAAAGAAACTTTTGGTGTATGGATTGCCCGTCCCTATGAAAGCCAAAAAAGAAAATAAAGCATGTCAATCGAATTGTAAACACGTGCGCTGACATTATACATAATGGGCAAAGTTGCAAAATTGGATTCAAGAATCGCTGGGTCTGGGTATGAATGATGAACCTACATTCACTCTCCAATTAATATGCAATTGAATACAAATTACCCCATCAAAGTCGACAGAAAACTGTGATAAAACAAAATGATAAATCTATAAATTACCAGCAGGGAAGACTCAGAAGCCACTTGCAAGAGTTCTACTTCCACGTTTAGCAGGCGTGAAATAAAGGAACAAAAAGCACTTTGATGTTGTATCGAAGTAGTGCATGAAGTGAAATGAACGGTTCCACTAAACTGAAATAAAGGAACAAAAAGCACTTTGATGTTGTATCGAAGTAGTGCATGAAGTGAAATGAACGGTTCCACTAAAAAATAAGTTTAGTGCGGAAAATTAGCATTTTTATGGACCTCATTTTTCCAGCGATGGTGGATTCGAAGATAATTTCCACTGTACTTCACAGCTACATATTTGTGTGCTAGTGCGGCAAGTCATGTCAGGTGACGAGGACACGACATTAGAAAAGTCTAGCAAAAGGAAGAAGACAAAAGTTGAAAAAAACATGGTACTCTTAACTTTGCATGGATTCGGCCAGCGAATTGTCCATTTTTTGCAACAGGACTTGGCTTCTATTGTCTATTTAAAATAAATAAATAAATAAATCATAAAAAAAGAAAAGGATAATTGTAGCTGCCTTTCCAAATCGAAACCCAAATGGATGGATTCCATCCAAATCGCTGTTAATTGTCAAATTTCTTTGAGTCTGACCAAATTTTAACCAATATTCAAGGGGCAAAATAGAAACTTTTTATTTTCAAACTTAAAACAATTAAAATAATGAAAACCACAAATGAAAAATGAAAGAAAAAATAAAATCCGCCTTCTTCCCCGCTCTAGTCTGGGCTTGCAAAACTTGAAACTTGACTTCCAAGCTTAGGCACGCTTTATTCGTACTTAAACACTAATATTTAGGGTCCGTTTGATTGCAAGGGTGAAAAGAAAATGTTTTATAGGGAATTGATTTTCTTAGAAAATGTTTTACTGAGAATTGTAATTAATTGTGTTTGATTGGTATAATTTTCCATGGAAAATGTTGAAAATTTGGTGTCCATTTGGCTTCTTTTTTATGGAATTTGTCCATTAAAGTGATAATTTTTTCTACCATTGGGTCTAAAATGTGTTCCAATTGTAAAAAAAAAAAAAATTTGAAAAAAAAATTTGAAAAAAAAAAATTTACCATACCGAATATTCTTCGTTTGACTTTGTTTTGCATGGAAGTTGTCAATAAAAGTGAAAATTTTTTTTACCATTGTATCTAGAATTTGTTCCCATTGCAAAAACAAAAAAAACAAAAAAAGCTGGAAAATATTTTTTCACCTAATAGGTGAAAAAACATTTTCCACTATTTGTGCATCAAAGGGTTGTACCTAGAAAAAGGGAGGAAAACATTTTCC